TCCAGAAGGCCTACTTCCCCAACAACCTCACAACATCCCGCCTATTTTACTCCACTGTTATCTGCTTGCCCCTAAGAGTACTTACACCAGCAACTCTCACTTTAGTAATAACCAGGACAACACATCAACCATTCAAATACTTGGAGAGTAAAACTTTAAATTGTGTGATCGGAATCTTGACCTCCAAAACAAATTTAAAGTGACAAAAGTCGTTTGTGTTTCAAATTTAGGAACTACTTACAGAAAGCTTTTCTGGGTTGATCCAGTTATTTTCCGGAAACTGCACATCAAACTTTATGTAGAGATCACCCTTTTCAAAGGGATTACGATACTGCGGCATCCCTTCACCTCGAACTACACGAACGCATCCTATCATTTATGTAAGAGATAATGGCTTTAGGATTTTTCACCCAAAAAAGCAAAGCTGTTCAGTAATAATGAGTCACCCATTATTAAACACTACAAATTGTTAAACTCATAAAAACCTAAATTACTCCACTAAAACCAAACTGTCAAGTTGATTTTCAATTTACAAAGCTATACATCAGTATAGGAACAGTCTGATCTTTCTCCTATCCTACAGAGTGGATGGTGGGTTTGAACCAATGACCATGTGGCTAGGGACTAGAAAACCAAACTGCTATGGAATCAATTCTGACTCATAGGACAGAACAGAATGGCCCCTGAGAGTTTCTGAGACTGTGGCTCTTTATAGGAGTAAGAAAGCACCTGGTGGTTTCAAACTGCTGATCATGCGGTTAACAGCCCAACATCAAACTCACAGCACCATCAGGCCTCCTCTAGAACCTGGATTAGGTAAAATTAAAATCTTAACATAAGGCTTACCTGGTTCAATTACTTTGCCAGGGGGATATTTCACCATAATCTGACGGGCATCAAGGTGCTTAAAGGTGAACTGAAATCCACAGAGAGCTTCAACAAGTCCTATCTTATATGTCATATGCAAATCATTGCCATCTCTCTGGAACACCTACATATAAAAAACACATTAAAAAACATTATACAACCACAGCCTGTTGTGCTGTGTACCTTGAATCAATTTCAAACTCTTAATTCTAATCACTCACTGCAAAATCCAAATTGCCACCATACCTAATTCCCTAAATTTTTATTAAAGTTAGCCACCCCCAGAAACTTCAGTTAGGAAAGCATTAGAAGTAGGAGTCATGACAAAGCTAAGGCCCCAACAGTACCAGACATTATCTAAGTACATAGACGTTCCAGCTGGCCTTGGCACCATAGGCTCACAGCAGAACCCTGTGCAGATGTGATCCTGTAAAAAGCTCAAGCAGTCAAACAGCCAGTAAAGTCCAGAGTCTCAAGTCTAGGTTTCACACGGACGTAAGCTATACAGAGAGTGCTAAAACTGCCTTATTCAATATTATCCTATTAGTATTTGGAGACTGTAATACAAGGAGAAGCACAAAAATCATAGAAACCTTTAATAAAAAAAGACAAAAATGTGAAGCTGTTTTCTCAACGTTTCTTCCATCTAGGTCTATATACTTTTGAAGGCAGCGACTCCAGCTCTCCTCCCCCTGCAGTACTTGGCATGTTTCAATTTACACCATGTCAAAGGACCCTCTGGGCATCTTAAGAGGACTCATGTTAGACTCCTTCGCAATATTCTTTGAGTTTGGAGAACAAATGGAAGTCTAAAGGGGAAAGATCAGGGATGCAGAAAATAGGGTAAGTTTTCCCAACAAAATTCTCATAAGCCAGCCATGCTTCCCTCTAAGCTACACTATTGAGATAGGAAAATAATAGTTCTCAGTGTAACTTTCCTGGTCTTTTTCTCACCAATTAGTTTTCAATTTTCTTAAAACTTCTAATAAGTCCCCTTGATTGCCTTGTGTCCTTCAAGAAAGTCTATTTAAGATTATCCATTTGAGATCCCCAAATAGTTACCAAAACGTTCTGGACCAGAAGGTGTCCTCAGAAATGGATGATCTGACTAGGGTTTTTTTTTTCTTCCAAAAGGCACCCAAAGAGATTAATCGGTCTTCAGCCATACACTGATGGCAGAGACATGTTTGAACACATTTTATTAAGAATAAACATATGCACATATGAACTACAAATGTTAAATTAAAAAAAAAAACACTTAATGGCTTATCTTTGTACCATTAAGTTCTGAGCTCTTAATGTGTAGAAAAAAATAAAATTTCACACATGCTTAATTTTTACAAATACAAATCCACATCTAAATTTTGAAATCATCTCAAGAATAGATTAGATGCATTGAACACAATGAACAAAGACGAGACAAGTAGTGGGATAACATCAAAGATATGATATATGAAGAAAGCAAAATGCAATTTAAGAGACAGGAAAGAAAGAAAAGACCAAAACATGAAGACAGAAAAGCTAAAGCATTTTTAAGAAATGATGACGGAAAGGAGATGAATAGAAAAGTTCAAAGGTCAACACCAGAAGACACAATATTATAATGCACACCTGGAGTTAGAAAACCAAAAAAGAAAAATATCTAGGCATTTCCTAAAGCTGAAAGGACCCAAAGAAACGGGGGAAGAAAAAAAAAAATCAAGCAACTAGTTGCAATAGAAGAATTTTATGGATGAAATACTGAATGATCTATGAGGCACCAAAAGAAAATGGAATGAATATACAGTCACTATACAAAAAATAGATTAGTCAATATTCATTTGAAGGAACTTATGCTAAGAACCAAAATTACTACAGGAAGAAGGCTAAGCTGCACTAATGGTGTTGGCAAAAACAGGCCTCCAGGAATTGATGGAATATCAAATAAAATGTTTCAACAAATGGATTCAGCACAATGGGTACTCACTTATCTTGTCAAGAAATTTGGAAAACCTGGCCAACTGATTAGAAGAGACCATTATTTGTGCCAATTCCAAAGAAAGGTGACCCAAAGGAACATGGAAATGATCATAAATCACCATCATAATGCAAGTAACATTTTGCTGAAGATAACTAAAAAATAATTGCATCAGTACACTGACAGTGAATCGACAGATTCAAGATAGAATCAGAAGAGGCCATGGGAAGAAGGACAGAAAACAGAACACCAGAAAGATGTTCACTTGTGCTTTACTGACTATGCAAAGGCAGGTTCATAATTAAGACTAGGGGGAAAAAAAAGACTAGGGATAATACTGTAAATATTCCAAAACATTTCATTGTAGACAAGAGAAAGCTATATATAGACCAAGATTAGTTGATCAAACATCATCTTTACAAAAGCTTTTGCTTAGGTTTTTTCAGAATCTTAAGACACATCTAAACATTTTCTGGAGCTGAGTTAATGGACTTAAAGACCCCACAGACTAAAGAGACACCAAGGTTAGCTAACAGTCAGAAAATACCATATATACTCGAGTATAAGTCGACCTGGATATCAGCCAAGGCACCTAATTTTACCACAAAAACGGCATTAAAAATGTGCTGGAAAACTTGGCTTATACACGAGTATATACAGTAATAATATTCTAGATTAAGAAGCCTTGTGGTGTAATGGTTATACACTCGGCTGCTAACCATAGGTCGGCAGTTTGAAACCACCAGCTGCTCTGTGGGAGAAAGACGAGGCTTTCTAATCTCGTAAAGAGTTAGTCTTGGAAACTCACAGGGGCAGTTCTATGCTGCCCTATATGGTTGCTGAGTTGGCATCAACTTGATGGCAGTGAATCTGGTTTAGAGTTTTGGTATGTTCTAGTTAGGTGAGTACTCTTGAGTCTTAAAAGCTTGAAAGCAACCATTTAAGAAACAGCCATTTTCCCATCTGCACAAAAGAAAACTAAAGAGACCCAAAGTCTTGAAGAAGCAATTAGCCCACAAGACTAAAGCTCACTATAGCTTTTGCAGACCTGAGACCAGAATTTAATGATGTCTGACTACCACTACCAACCACTCTGACCAGGGACACAATAGAAGATCCAGGTTAGAAGAGGGGGGAAAAACAAATAACAAAATGATTTTTTAAAAGCGCTCATAAAAAAGACAAGACTTAACTAAATTGTCAATTCAGTTAACAGCTGAATTGATAAAGACTACAAGAACCCGAGACCATTGCCTTTAGACAACCTTTCAACCTAGAACTGAAGTCATTTCCAGAAGTCACATTTTAGTTCGACAATAGATAGGCCTATAAAATAACACTTGTGAGGAATATGTGCCTTAGAATAAGCAATTACACACCAACTGGGTAATAGCTGCCTAAAAGAAAATAAAGCAAGCAGGAGCAGGGAAAGAGTAGTGATGGAAACAAGAAAGGCAGTGTAGATGTGGTGGTAACAGTAACCTGAGGATAGCAACCAATATCACGGAACAATTTATGCACAAAGTGTTGAACAGTAAACTAATCTACCGTGTAAACTTTCATCTAAAGAATATAATGTTTTTGTTTTTTAAAAGGCTTTATTATAAGGATAGGGAATATTATGTTCTTGGTTAGGAGAGATCAAACTTTAATTCTAATAAAAAAAATAGTAACAATTTTATGTTGTTTTTAGAAGTGGGGAAGAATCTCCAAAAACACATTGCCATCCATTCAATTCAGACTCAGTGACCCTATAGGGCAGGGTACAACTGCCCAATTGTGGTTTTCCACGACTATAACTCTTATCAGGAGTAGGAAGCCTCATCTGTCTCCTGTTGAACAACTGATAATTTTGAACTGCAGACTTCAAGGTGTAGCAGTCCAACAAGTAACCAACTATGCCACAAGAGCTCCCCGGAGAGGAAAAAGATTCTAAACAATATTGGTACTAAAGTTCCAAAGAGAGATCGCAAGAAAGTACCCAAAATTTGTTTTGCAAAACAAGATTACTCACCAGGGGGTACTCACTCTTTAGAATAATCAATCATTTGTGATAAAAAGGGCAGCATTTACCCAAGGACAAAGTTCAGAAGGGTGAAGAGAGGAGTAGAAATACAAATAGGAAATACAGGGGAAGGCAGAAGTGGACATGTGATGTTACATTGCAGGAATGGCAATCAATGACATGAAACAAAATCATTTATGAATTATTGAATGGAAAATTGACTCACTTTGTAAACCTTCACCCAATTTGGGAGAAGGGAGATGTCAGACAGTGCAAGATATGATAAAATAATAATTTATAAATTATCAAGGGTTCATGAGGGAGTGGGGAGGAGGGAGCGGGAAGGGAGGGGGGAAAATGAGGAACTGATGCCAAGGGCTTAAATGGAGAGGAAATATTTTGAGAATGATGAGGGCAATGAATGTACAAATGTGCTTTACACAATTGATGCATGTATGGATTGTGATAAGAGTTGTATGAGCCCCTA